CGGTTGAATTGGTGGCTTCGGTACACTAAAATTAAAACAAAAATAGATCATGAAGTATTATTGTCTATGACAAAGTGCTACATAGGCATTGGTGGTGGTGGTTCTGGTTCTGACGATGGTGATGGCTAAAAGAAAAAACAAAACCATGTGTACTAATAATTTGTCATCAATGTTAATGCTTACTTGTGGTACAAGTTCAATTAGTGGAAATGGCGGCTGAATTTCTTTGAGTTGGATCATGTAAAAATTTTTACCTTGACTGAGGCATGACACGACTTTAAATTGCCGTGCAGCTGGCAGAAGAATTTCATCTTCAGCTTGATAGCAAGAATATTTTCGGATATCTTTGCCACTGTCGCATTCAATCGTAAAGAATGTTCTTGGGCCTGTTTCACCCAAAAATTGTTCGTTCTTTAGTACATTTAGCTTGGACGTACAAGAGCTGAATCCCCACCAAACAAGTGTCTTTCCTTCTGGATATTCATCTCTCATGTCTTTCTTAACACCGCGATAAACCGTTCGAGCCATTGACGGAAGGTGAGCCAGTGCAGTGAGAATCAATTTGAGAAAAAGAAACCAAGGTGTCAGTTTTTGGCGATTTCCATTTCGTAAGGTTTTATTTAAAACATGATAAAGACACTCATCTTGCGGCTGCCATTCCATCGAATAGAGAGTAATCGAGGCTGCTTCATCAATAGATAGTTTTCCGGGTGAAAGCTCTGCACATTTCATTTTCGCAACGTAGACNTTAACACTACGTACTATATAACTATGAATTCAGTTGTGTTTTGGAAATCAGTGTAATGAAGCGCGTTTTCGGCATTTCATGAACTCACTCATATCTCCATGAAACGCGTTTTATCACCTTCCACGATTTTACAGCGTTTATTGGATAGCAAATAAAGTGCGTTTCAATTATGGTACACGATCTAACGCAGGAAAAGACATAGATTGCGTTCACGCGCGTTTTAAAATAAGAATTTAAATGCGTTCATATGCGTTTGCTCTGATTAACGCTAATAAACTCGTCGAAGTTCTTTAAACGCGTTTAAAAAGATAACTACAAACGCATTTATCTGCGTTTTTATCATAACTCGATGCCGGAGCGCATCAGGACGCCAACATTTGCAACATAAACGCATCTAAGTGCGTCTAAAGTGCGTTTCGTGATTACATGGGTAGAATTAACAGTGCCGCTACGACACTTGGTATCTACTATTATAGTACTTTCGTAGTCAAATCTCGAACTTCATTCATCATTCTATATACAAAATAGTCATTGGATAACACAGCAAATGTAGTCATTTCTAAGGATGCAACCTGTAGTGAAGCCAACAGTTGAAAATCCATTGATTACCAATGGACTCTTTTGGAGAGAATGGCAATTGCCCATCCTGAAAATAGTTCTGTTAGATAGTTCTCCACTGCTTGAAATGTTCTGTCTATGGCGCTTCGAACACATCCATCCTGAATCTTGTCTGCAGTAAAAATCTCGGAGTACTGACCTATCGTGAGTGCTTCCCCAAAGAGCAATGATGAACGACTAGCTGATCGTGTTCAAAAGTTCACTTTCACATAAGATCATATGTTTTTATTTACCATCTATCTGACTCAGGTTTAGCTTTTTTCTTAAAACTACGTATAGATCACGAAAGAATGCGCCAAATGCTCCAAACAAAAGATTCTTCTATGAACTATTCCTTATGCCTTAAATCTCAAGATCTTTCTAGAAAGTTTCGCGTTATATTGCAGTCAGATAAAACAATCCAACTACATGAATTATTGGTCTGAATTCTATTGGATTTTGCAGAAATCCACCGAAAACCGATAGAATGGCATCGAAATTTCTTTGGTACCCACTTAAAGTCGATGTCGAAATGCTAGGCACTCATTTCACGCTTGCTTCCGATAGAATTCTGTCGATACGAAAAATATCAGACAGGATTCTATCTACTAGGTTCGTCCTAGGAGTTCTTCGTTAGCGCTATCGTATACGAATCCTCACTGAAGAAACATTGCACTGAATCTTTTAGATGACGAGCTAGCAGTTTATTGGCGCTCCTTGGTGACGTCACTGATGACTAGTTGCTGCTACTCTAGTGTTTACATGTGCAAAAAAATCTTCTCTTCTATTTACAAGCCACGCACGATAGTTTTGCCCATCGCATGCGATTATTGGATTTTCAATGAAATGTTCTTCAATTGGAAATAGATAGTAGCAGGACTGTTTTTATACTATCAATAGATAGATTACACTGTCCAGACTTTTTAGAAATAACGGTTTCATATGCGATGCGCGATCAGAATATACTGGTCATCACAGCCACTGACAGTGAACAGTTTTTCTCTGCTTTCAACCATCGCCCAACTGAAACCGCAAATTTTCATGCATTCATACTTACTCAGGTGAAAGAAAACGACCCGTAAACGACCTGAAACGGCATAAAAACGATGTACAACGTTAAAAAGCGGCGCCGTTTTCCGTCAGCTCGGAAAACGAAGAGAATAGTGTTAAAAGCGATGGCCGTTTTCTAGCAAAAAAAAACGGCCCGTAAAACGAGCTGACGGATTACGGCGAAATAGGGTGAAAATTAATGCCGTTTTATGTCGTTTTATAGCCGTTTCAGGCCGTTTCCGATGGCCTTTCAGACGGCAGGATGATCCTCCTGGGTAACCAACTGATCCTCACTTTCCCGTATGATTCTCTCTTCAGCTCAGAAAAAGTCGTTATTTTCCATAAAAGACCTTTCATTAACGAAATATATGAATCTCAAATTTTGAGAAACCACACTTCGGATTTGAATTCCGATCCCAATTTATTTGAGTCAAACCTTATAAATCATGGCTACATGTATGCACACCAGGCTGTACATGTGATCGCAAACAAATATACAAACCCACAAGCGCATCTGTTTTCATAAAGCCCTGCTTGAGTCCAGGGCAAACGCTCGTTTTCATAGATCTGCCTTCTAGTCAATGAAAACTCAGATAAATTAGTCGATTTGAGATTCGGATGCCTGGCCACCGATTACATATAGCAAAGCTGCATCAAAACTTCGAAAAGCCTTAAAATAAGCTAACCTCTGAAATATGTTTTTTGACCTGCCATATACAGACAGACAAACGAATTTTATTTCATATGATCCTCCCTACAGTTGAGGGAATGAAGACACAAGGCAAGGAGTTCTAAATGCATTTTCATGCACTAGAAAGGTCATCCACATAATTACATGATAATACAAGCTAGCTCACACGTTATAATGTATTGATGTATCCGTTCACTAGAATGAGCTAAAACAACCAGCGTATTATAATTACGTACGTTACATTTCTATGCCAGTATAATGCATTATAATATCCACTATTTCATACAATCATGAGTGCGTTTCGATACACAATTCGAAAATCATAAACAGAGAGAAAACGAAAGAGCTTTTTCGCTTTTACTGAGACTAGTGTATTTCTCAAGCAGATGATCGTTAAATTCATCAAAGCTTTTAGCAAAAACAGAGATGTCTAATCAAATATTTTACTAGTTACGAAAGATTACTAAACGGGCTATCTCCCATGTATTTATCGTAATTTTCATTCTTGCTGACAAAAATTTACCTTTTAGGTGCAGAGAGTGGTTTAAAACAAGAAGTGAACTTAGATCTAACAAGATGGTCTGTCGAGATTAGGAACACTACATTCTTGGTCAGTTTATTATGAAGTAAGATCACAAAAATCAAATTGGTTTTAACGATTTCCTACATAGTCAATGGGAAATTGTGACCGATCAAACTCTTGGCATGATGTCATGGACAAAATTAAATTTTATTTTGATTACAGTTACGATATACAGTCTATCCAAGGCTCTAAAAACCAGAGAGATTTAACATGATTCAATCCATAAGTTTATTAATAGATGACCCTTGTGAAGCGTACAACAAAATTTTGAGAGTACTGCACTTGTTGAAGGACCTTTCCTTAGAACATTTGACGTTGCGTTGAATATGGGCTTCAGCAGAAATAGAAATTTGAATTGAACTTTTTTCAAATCTTAGTCGCTGAAGTACGATTGAAGTAAGAATAGTTTCGACGTTTTTCTTAATTACAATAGCTACATCACATGATTCTCATTTCCCTGAGATCGAAATTTTAAAATGTCACTAATCTTGAGTAGCCCAAACTTTTCAAATAAATAAGATCACAAGAATTATCTTTGCTAGCCCTATGTTGAAAGTTTCCTCAGCAGTATCTATCAAAGAACGTCCTACATGAATGGTCACAGGAGTCATTTAGAAACGACGTCCAAATTAGATGGTGTTGGTGCCATTTCTTTATGGTTGTCATGGTGTGTCGTATATGTTAAAAGTACTTAGGGCAATCCAAAAATAGTGAGGGAAGTACTTTTTTCTTTAAGCGGAGGTCTAAAAATATTAATTTTTTTACCAATGGATAGACCGTGTTTCGCTCTATTTTTCTATACTATTAAGTTAGTAAAATTTCGAGAAAAAGATTTTTTGTGTACTGCTCGCTGGTAGCAGAAACTGATTTTTTCGTTTTTTCTTCTTCTTATCATTACTTACAACCTTCTTCCACATGTTTTACTGTGTAACAAAATCAATAGAAAATAAAAGAAAAGAAAAGATAAACAGAAATGAATTTTTGTGATTATTTCACTGAATTTTCAAAGTAAACTATATGTTCATTATTCCAAATCATCATATGCTTTCTTTTTTTTTCTTTCCTTCTTTTCTCGTCCATGCCTTTAGGTAACTACAGAAAACTTTCGCTTTTATATAAAAGTGCCTACTGCACTTGATATTGGGGCAGGAGCTATTCATGATAAATTGAATTCAATTTATGGCGATGAAGCTCCTGGTCTGAGCGAATACAGTCTAAAATGTCCCTCGTTAAAATGTCCCTTATTCTTTAATTTTAGTTGTTGACCTGTGTTAGTGAAATACAGATGACGCCTTATAAAGAAAGAAATATATCGGTGCATAGTTTAATTGTCTATTGTAGAGAATACGATCGTATAAATAATTCAATAAAGACGAGAGAATATATCGTTTAAATGTCATTCGTTGTTTTGCGTGATATTTTTCCGTAATGGTAAACAGATATTTTTAATGGGATCTAATAAGCTGACAACTATTGATGAAACTGAATGGCCATCGCCATCTCAATCACCTGAAATTTCATTTTTGCGACCAAGTGCAACTAAACCAACAATTACAAAAACATACTGGAATAAAGGAAAATTTATGTTAATTGCTCATGGTTATAATTTCCAATTTTAAAATTTTAATCGAAAGAAAACTATAAAATGTTGGCGATATACAAACCGCAGTTGTAACGTAATTTTGCATACAAATTCTGATGATACATTTATAAGATTTTCTGGAACAGTTGCTGTTCATAGCTTAATGTTTCAAATTATTAGCGGAATGAAACCTCGTGTAAAGCGACCCAAGTCAAAAGTTGTTGAACGACGTATGAAAGAATTATATGAACGATTCCACAGCAAACAAATTGATCTACAAAAATGATTAAAAAAAACCATATTTTTTTATCGCAAGTGGAAAATAAATTAGAATTTTATTGGTTTTCATTGATTATATCACATGATTGATTTTATGAATAAGAGTAGTTCATGATTTACAGAAAGCACATCTTGAAAGCGAAAGACATTTTTTCGGAGGACAATATTTCTAAGGACCATTTCTCAGGGACATTTTTTCCGA